GACATTTGAATTGTAGTAAACCAAAGAAGATGTCTTCAGAAAGGAAAGTATTCGCGCTTTCTGTTTTTGTAAACTATAAACTGGGATTTTTAGATTTACTTTAAAAAAAAAAAAGACTTCCTTCTGTCTGAGTGGTCTTTAAGTCCATGTAGGTACCTTCAAGGTGTCTTTGGCTCTCTATCTAGGGTTGAATAATCTTTCATATCACAGCACACTAATAAAAATCCTTCTTAATAGTATGATATTAAGGTAATCCTCTTGTGCTTATAATTGTTATATTTTACAGTATTCATAACAACATAAATATCCTAAAGAAATTACTGTTACACTGAACACTGAACGGGGCATGTAATTAACTTCCTGATATATTTCCTGATTTTCTTTTATTTTCTTATAATGTCATAATTTATGCAAATGCACAGTTTTGCACCTTTTGGTACTTACATTTTGGTCTCTGATTGATTGATTTATTACGGTAATTGATTGAGTGATTGACTTTACTGATCACACAGTAGAGAAATGTACTCATTACATCAGCTCAAATAGTCAAAGGAGAAGAATGTGCAAAGGAAGAAAAAGGTGCATGCGATATATACCGTACATTATTTACAGCGTATCCACATATGACAGATTATTTTTATTTTTTTTTATAGTAGGATCATTATACGGGGTTATTGCACAGGGTGTTTACATGGGTATTTATATAGATTGATATTTATATTTATATATAGTTATTACTGGGTTTCAGATATAGAGAACCAGGTTATTGCACGGGGTATCAAATAGTAATTGCACATTATACATTTCACAAATTATTGCCGTTGTAGTGTCATGTTGTTGAGTCTGGTTGCAGCAGGGATGAATGACCTGTGGTAGCGCTCCTTTTTACAAACATGGTGTAAAAGTTCCGTAAAAATTCAAAAAAAATATCCACTGGACTTGGTTTTCAAGATTTGAAGACGTTTCGCCACCTCTCCAGGAAGCTTTCTCAAGCTTCCTGGAGAGGTGGCGAAACGTCTTCAAATCTTGAAAACCAAGTCCAGTGGATATTTTTTTTGAATTTTTACGGAATGAATATGACCTGGATGACTGAGAACCTTCATCAGCATATGGTGTAAAAGTCTTTCACTAAAGGAGCTGCTCAGATCCGCTACAGACTGGTGCAGAAGGTGAAAGGTGTTGTCCATGAAGGATGTAAGCTTGGACAGCACCCTCCTCTCAGCCACTTCCTCCACTGAGTCCATGGTGCAGCCTAGAACAGAAGCGGCCTTTCTTACGAGTTTGTTCAGTCTCTTTCTGTCCCGCTCTGTGCTGCCAGGGGTCCAGCAGACAACAGCATAGAGGAGGGCTGATGCCACCACAGAGTCATAGAAGGTTTTAAGTGGGGCCCTGCTCAATCCAAAGGACCTCAGCTTCCTCTTGAGGTGGAGGCAGCTCTGGTACTTTTTATACAGGGCGTCAGTCCAGTCTAGCTTGTTATTGATGTGAACACCCAGGTATTTCAAATTCTCCACAGTTTCTATGTCCTGCCCCTGGATGGTCATGGGGGAGTGAGGTGGGGGTCTTCTCCTGAAGTCGATCACCATTTCTTTGGTGTCTTTGGTCTTACTGGTGTTAAGACACGGGTGGTTCTTCTCACACCAGTCAACAAAGTTCATGATGACTGATAAATACTCCAGCTCATTCCCCTCAGAAACACAGCCTACAATGGCTGAGTCATCGGAAAACTTCTGAAGATGACAGCTGTCCGTGCTGTAGATGCAGTCCGAGGTGTAAAGGTTGGAGCAGAACTGTGCCCTGGGGGACTTTGGTACTGCAGAGTGCCACCTCTGACTGACAGCCTTGGAGCCCCACATACTGAGGGCGTTTGGTGAGGTAGGTATTGTCTATCAGTAAGATGTATATCCACTCCAGCGTCCTCCAGCTTCCCTCTCAGCAACTCTAGTCTTATGGTGTTCAAAGCACTGGAGAAGTCAAAGAACATTACTCTCACCGCTGCAGCAGGTAGATGATGGCATCCTCCACTCCGATGTCAGGTCGGTAAGCAAACTGCAGGGGGTCCAGGGTGGGGCTCACCAGGGTGTGCAGGTGGGCAAGGATAAGGCGCTCCATGGCCTTTATCAGGTGGGAGGTCAGGGTGACTGATCTAATGTTGGCTGGTTCCTTGGCGTGTTGCGGTTTGGGAACAAGCGCGATAATGGATGTCTTCCATAGAGTGGGGACCAGGTTGTAGATGTAGCTGAGGATCTATGCTGAGATCACAGAGCTCATCAGCATAGTTCCTTAGCAGCCTTGGAGGAATCCCGTCCGGTCCAGAGGATTTCCTCTGTTTCAGCTTCTTCAGCCGGCTTTTCACCTACATTGAAGTGACTGCATGGGGGGAAGGAGGCATGGCAGAGGGTGTGAGTTGGTTGGGGGTTGGTGAGAGTGGTGGTGGGGGGGAGGTTAGGTCTCTGGTGGTCTTGGGGTTTGGAGACATGTTGAGAGTCAAAAACAGGGAGGGGGCTGGTGTGAGGGGGCTCTGCGAGCCCCAATAACGGTTCAACATCAAGCATTTTTTGGTAATTGACAAATGTCTTGTTAATGTTTCAAAAAAATAACTTTTTCAAGAACGTCCCGATTAGTACGTTACAAAGTTGTAACAGCGCTGCCCTCATCTAGGCTCTCAAGCTGGGTAAAATGTAGGAAAAATATATTACATCTCATTTACATTTTATATTCAGGTTATATTTATTATTGAAAGAAAGAAAATACCCAACTGCTAATAATAGATGCAAAATAAAGTACATATTATTTGCTTACACTGCACTAAGGCTGAAAAAAAAAACAACAACAGCATAATGCTTTTTCTGCTGGAAATCCCATAGGGATGATATTATTAGTCCTTTTTCCATCAGATTCTTCCAACCTAAAGCAACCAAAGTGTCTTCTAGAAGTATCCTAACAAACAATATTCTATAAAAAACCATCAGACATGTTTCTCAAGCAATTAAGAATAACTTCAGTACTTGAGTGTAGCTCTGGCTCCCTCTAAAGTTGCCCTTAAGGAATAGAAAACAACTATTCAGAAGCCGCTGCTGCATCCGTTCTATTAGTGCAGCTGGCTTCACTTCTTCAGCTTCTGTTTTTTTTCACAGTTTTTTCAGCCATTTTAACATGTTTAAGATAAATGGTCAGTTTGTCATGAAGCTCAGAACATAGGACCCAGAATTCAGGCGAGACAGATAGTGATTATTTAAAAGACGTTTATTGAAACAGACGCAGAGCTTTGGATCTGCAGCGGCTGCAGTTGGGCGGGGCTCCACCCATCACTGGAAACTCAGGTGGAGAAAAATACAGGTAAGTGACCATGATAATTTGATGGAAGAGGATTATCCATGTGAGTCACCAACCTGGTTTATCAGTTCAGTCCATCTCCATTTAAAGTGGTAAGATCCAGCCAGGGGGCTGCCTACTAGATGCTGCAGGAGCCACCCATAGTGTCCCCATTGCTGCAGTCCCTGAGGGCAAGAATTAGTTTGAGCCAGGTCAGGGAAATCCCATTTAAAATGCAACCAGAGGTATCCCTCCTTTTAACGTGTGAGCTAGGGCTGCAACTAACGCTATTTTGCAAATTGACTAATATGCTGATTATTTATTTAGATTATGCTAAATTTAACCAGTTGAAACTAAAACGATTCCAATTGAGTTCTGGATAGTGTCATGATCTGCTCTGATAGCTGGCCTTAATTGCTCATTGCACTCACCTGCCTAGTTCTGTCCAGCTCCTAATCATCACTCATCTCAGCCACCTGCCAGTTGCCCTTATATTGGGCTCAGTTCCAGCTTTAATGGCCAGATCATTCTGTCATAAAAAGGGACAGATGTACCAAGTATTCAGGGTGAGACAGCCAGTTGGAAAGTTCAAAATGTTTATTACAATAAAAACAGACAGAACAGAACTGAAACAGGCTGCGGACCTGTAACGACTACAGGAGGGGGGCGGGGCACTGCCCAATCACTGACACTCTGGTTTAGGAAGAAACACAGGTAACTCAACAGAAGATGATTATCAGAGGGAGTCACATACCTGGTTTAACAGTTCAGTCCATCCTCACAATCATAGGCAGGATAAGCCGATACACTGCCAATGAGAGGCAGCCCTAAGCCATCCAGAGAGTCCCGGATGCAGCAACCCCAGTGTGCAGGCTGGACTCCAGTCCAGGACAGGGATTCAGATCAGACCGGAGTACTGGAATCCGGGAGTCCGCAATCTGGTCAGGGGTTACGATCCACTCAGGAACGGACGGATCCGGGTTCCAGGTATCCATCAGATCATGAAGGCAGGTTCAGAATCCTGTGCGTCGAGCATCCAGCTCAAACAGAAACTCATGGGAGGCAAAATCCAGCAGGAGTCTAACAGGTTCAGGCAAGCAGTTGAATATCAGTTGACGATTATTACAATAATCGATTAATGCTATTAATACAATGAATTGTTTTAGCCCTAGTTTGAGCTATTTATTCAGAAACTTCCAAAGGTTATAACATTATCATCTGACTAGACTAAATTGCTGTTTCATATGGATCTTAATGTGCAAATGTCTTATTTTGAAGACACAAACAAAATTATCTAAAAAAAACAAATTTTTTCCTAGTTATTCTGTCACTAAGCAAAGTAGCAAAGAGATATAATCCTAATGGGCCTAAAAAAATTAAATAGTTCACTTGGTTTGATGCTAGACAACCAGAGAAACATGTGTTGTGTCTTTTTTTTTTTAAACAGTGAATGATGTTTTCAATAGTAGGTTGATAAAGCAATGAATGACTCGAGTTTAGAAACAAAACAGACTTTATTGTAGCATGTCAGTCAAACCAGTAGGAAAATGTACAGGCTGTTTAACAAGGGAAACAGATGTTGTGGTCCAATTTCAGATAAATCTTTATTTTAACCTTGTTGATGGGTAACACACTCAGTCATTTCTAAAAGCGATGAAAGATGTTTTGTAACACTGGCTGTTTTGAGGCTCTACATTTACACACTTAATAGGATCAATTAAAAAGTGTAACTGAATAAATATACTCTTTGGTTTGTAGCTATTATCATATAAAAAATTTTGTTTACTTGTGCAAACCTCCTTTTTGCGTTTTGGCTCAAATGATTGTCAGCAAACTGTCTGAATAGCAGCTAAATCCTGCATATTGCACTGGATTTAATGGTCACCGCAGACACTGCCTGAAATGTATATTATTTTACAGTCACTATAGGAGACAAAATATCACATTAGTTGAACTTCACTTCACAGAAAGTTGTCTGTTTACCAAATATAACAAACTCTGTGGAAGTTCATGCATTGTTCTTTATATTTTGTAGAACAAATGTAGGGACATCTAAGCAAAGCTATTCTGGATTGTTGGATGACATTATAATATTGGGGAAGTACAATGGAGGGATGTTGGCAGTGACTGAACTATTCCATGTAACACGGAAAAAAAGATTTCCATTTTAGTCATCCTGTTCTCATTCATCCTTTGGCGGCCATCTTCAGCAGGGCGGACTCCGACAGAACACCTCTCATGCCACCCTGTGTTCCCTCCTCTGCAGCAGGACATTCTTCCATCCCATCTAATGTCAAAACCTTTTTCCTGATTTCAACGCTGATGAAGGTTCTTCAAATGCTTTTTCATTTTGTTGAAAATCTCCAGACTTTGGAGGGGATCTCAGCATATTGGGATAATTACTGGGATAATTACTGGTTTCATGTTCTGTTTGTTGCATCTCTGTTTAGTCATAGCCATCTGTTGCCCAGTTAGTGGCCACCTGCTGTTGAGGGATTTCCATTAATCCAGTCAATGATAATAAGCACCATGCTCATGATCATGAAGATGAATCCTAATGCTGCAAAGCATGCGGCCTGCAAGGGTTGTAAAAAAAAAAAAAGCTATTTGTTTCTCAGCTGGGCTTAAAAAACAGAAAAGAAACCATGCGACCACATGAGACCACAGACTTGTACCTGAATCTTAGGTTTTGACTTCAAAGGCTCCTGTTCTTCAGGAACGATCCGGATGTAGAAGACTGAAGGGAGGATGAAAATGAGACTTGGGGCTGTGGTGGCTCCTTCACAAGACAAGAGGAGAGAGAACGAGCCGGATTATTGTTAACTTGGCAGCAGATCATGTCCTCCTTAAACAGATTATTAAAAAAATAAGCACTAATTAAACCTGCAGGTGCATCAAGATGAATTATTTCATAGCTAAAAAAAAAAGCAACTTATATCAGGAATAATAATCAAGGAGAAATACATTCTTTTATAGATCCATTGAACCGAGGGTTTTACATTTGAAGCCTTTTTTTTCTGGAAAGTTTGATTTATTATATTCTCCACAGGGTTCAGGTTTTAACCAGGTGCTGATCAATCCAAGACTGGGGTCTACCATGCCGATTAAACCAAATATTAGTACTTTTGGAACAGTGGGTGGTTACCAAATGATGCTTGAAAATCAAATCAGCATTTCCATAAAGCTAAATATCAACAGCTCTAAAAGCCTTGATCAAAACACAGAAGACCAAGACCAGGAGATGGCATTGCTCATCAGATCACCGTCTTCAAACTCTAAACTTTTTTCCTAAACTGTCAAGTCCTTCTTTTTATTTTTTCGGCCAAAATGCCCTGCTCCTGTCCCCTACCCCTTCACCTTTGACAGGTTCAACAGACCACTGTCCTGAAATCCAACAGACCTTCAGCTTTACGGATGTCATTACTCAGTAGACACAGTAAAAACAAAAGTGATGCAAGTCAAATTAGGACTACAGCCTTCCAGAAAAAAGACCTACAATAAACAAAAGATGCAAAATGTAGATAATGGCTGATACTTTTTATATTAAATCTGAAAACATAACATGTCTGAAAATATTTTACTTTTGTGAACCTCTGTTAGGTGAGCTGTGTCTATATGGATTATGAGGAACCATAGGGCTCCTGGCTGTGGTTAGGAATATCAGGAGGTTGCTATAGGAAGCTCACTGCCTTCTCTTCCTAACTTCTTCTTTACTGCCAGCATAATTCAGATAACACTTATTAATGGAGACTGCTGATGCACTTCCTCCCTGGCCTAAGTGTTCTTACCGATTAGATGTATTTGGATTAAGCCAAGGAACAATATCCCCCAATTTCTGTACTTATATATATATATATATACACACACTCTACACAATGTGAAACCCTCAAATGGGTTTATTTTATATTCCTCAAGGCTGAGATTAACACTGTTGCATGTGTGGATTTCCTAAACCACATTTCTTTGGCTTACTTAACATTGTCTGAATTTACACAATCTTGGTCTTTTTAAATGGCCAGGTTCTTCGGCAATGACCATTGCTCTCCTCTTGTGGATGGTGTCAAGTCAGCTGTTTTCCCAAGATTGTATATCCCAACATTCCTTTGTTAAAATGAATTATTACTGGTCTTTTATTATAATATTTGTATTTTCTGAGAAACACACATTTGTCTTTCCATTAGATTTAAACCATAATAATTATATCTCAGAGAGCAGGTTAAAATTTATAACCCTGAGTTTATTTATTATATCAAAAATTTGATATACCTTTTTCATTTAAATGACTGATATTCTAATTCAATGAGATGCACCTGAAGTTTAGCAATGCAAATTTGAGCTTAAACTGTGGCATCTAAAGTGAGACTCAAACTTCTCTTTCCTGTTGTGAAAACATACCGATGAAGGCAAAGATGTCTTTGATGGTAGGAACAGAAATAACCAATATGTTGACCACGATGATGAGACCTAATGCGATGATGAAGTGTCTGACCCAGTGGAAAGGCTTATCAGGGAAGAAGATCTGGAGCAATGCTCTGCGAATCTGCAAATATCCCAAAAAGCACACACACACACACACACAAAAAAAAAAAATTAAGCAAAATCAGTTTTTACAAACAAATTAGCATCAAGACTGATGGGGAAGTCTTTACAACCCCTTTTTGTCTTAATCCTCAGCTTCCTGAAGTTAGTGTAGCCTAGATACTTTTACTAACATGTGTACGGTCATTTGTAGGTTTTTGTATCCTGCTGTGAGATGCTTGACTTTAGCGTTTCATGCAAAAAGAAAGAAAGAGGGTTTTTTTCTGTTTCCTACATGGTAATTAAAAAATTAACAGTAATATTTTTACGTTACACATTAACTGGCTTAGCTAATTTAGCAGAAAAGAGTTCAAGGCGGTTGGCTCCTGTGTTACAAGTTTGTTTAACATTTTGTTATCCGTATTAAATACACATAATGTTTAGAGATAATACTTCTGCTCTTGGATGGACTAAAGATCATTTTAGACAGAACCTAGCATGCTCAAGTACTGCTACACTGTGAACTTAAGCTGAGATAGGCTAAGATCCTTCAGTCATAATGAGAACGATGACCGATAACCATTATTAATCATCAATCACTCAACATTTTTATAAGACATTTTTCTTTATTGTTAAAAATTAAATAGTTGAATTATTTTCCAAATTTGATTTGCAAAAGCTTATCCAGCATCAAGCTTAGCTACTATAAATTGTATCCTTTTAAAGTAGTTGTTCCTTATACATAAATGGTCTTGACAGTTTTTTGTTCTATTTTTAAGTTAAATAGCAAGTAGGCCTATTTCCTTTGACTCAGGGAAATAGTCATATGAAAATAAACACCAAGCCTAGAAAGGAAGGAATTTAGACTCTCTAAGAGAGAAAATAAAATAAATCAGTTACAATATATAAGAAAGATTATTTGCTCCTTGCTATTTTCTAACTTCTAACTAAAACTCAAGTGAAAAGCCATTTAAAGCCAGGAAGAAATAATCACCAGTTTTTTCTTTTTTGCTACTTGCAACATTTATTTCTTTTTTTGCACGTGTTTTGCCTGTTTGCATCATTTATAGGTTTGTATGATTTCTCTCCAGCCTTGGTACTTTTAGTTATTATATCGATATTTTTTACTTACCGGAAAGAGAACCACAGGGACAGTCAGAGTGACAGCCACCAGTACAGCCAGACGCACGCAGAGAATCAGAACATCCTGGGGGTCCACACAAATATAGGTGTGAAGTAGCTCTGACTCTGTTGCAGCTATCCATGGACAAAAGCAAAAACTGTTTAAAAATATGAAATTGCAAACTTTCTACAGAGTTTAAGACTTTTTGATTAGACTTATTGATTTTAAGTCAGAGTTTACTAAAACAGTAATTGTAGATCGATTCTGTGTTTTTTTATTTATTTTTTTATTTTACTTATTTCAAACAGGGGCGGAGCTAGATGGGGGAGCCAAGGGGGGGCATGGCCACCCTTAGCCAATCATTGGCCACCCCTAGCATTTTTCTCCTCTAATATAGATGGTGGCAGCAGTAATACTCTCAACCTGCAGCTCAGGAGTCGCTAGAGGCTCTTTGGAACCTCTACAATGGCTCTTTATAGTGATATAAAGAAATTGATATAAAGAAACAACTAATTTGGCAGAATAATGTATCTAAGTCTTGGAAACTTAATTGGGTTTAAATAAATACATATACTGGTATTCATACAGAGGAAAATCTTTGCTTCATATTTATGGAATATTTTATGATTTTCCTCATATTAAAGCTTGTTGGTTTTTTAAGTTGGAAACAGATAACCTATAGCTGATATTGAACAAGGATGATAATTAATTGTGTCTTATTAAAAAGGTTATAACCAGTCAAAAAAATTTCAATATTTGCGGCTCTAGACTCCTGGCAAAAGGGCTGTTTTAAAGGTTTTAAAGGTGGCAGACATCTGATGCATGTCATCATACCATGTAATCATGGTATTCTCCCCCTCAGGGTTATCATTCTACGTCAGGCATGCAGCAAAAATACTTCAGACTCAGCTGTGAAAAACATCTTACCATAAAAGGTGAGGTAACCAAAAATTGCAGTCAGCAGGTACATGACAAACATGGCCAGAATGGAGACGTTGGCAACAGCTTGCATGCGCTTCCTGCTGGCACTGAACGCAAAAAGAAACCTTTTAGCATCGCTGTTATAAATAACAGACTAAAAAAAAACATCCAGACTTACTTTCGTAACTCTGTGTAGATCGGCAGCACCTCTGGGTGACAGACAAAAGCGAAGGCTATGATTGGGACAGTGTATGCTGCCTAAAAGCCAAAACAAAGATACAGCCTTGTTAGTCTAGCTGTGTTATTAACACTGCTGTTTACATAACACGTCTTACTACTACTGACTTTACACACTGTGCTGGGAAATATAAGCTGTACAAACCAGGGCATAAAATACACACAGCATAAAGGAGATTAGGCATAATCAGTGAGATGTTTTCCTGACCTGTGAGTTGACGGTGAACAGTTTGGCTTCACAGGTTAAGTCTGTGTTGTTAAAGGACTTGCATTTTTCATTAACAAAACTTGTGTAATTTCTTGACTCAAACAAGCAGTCCAGGCTGAATTTCCTGTAGATAACCTGAAATGATTAACCAAAAAATGTATTAAAAGACAAATAATTATCAGAAGAGCAGCTATTTTTATTGCATGGATTACATGTTTCTGACTTACTGAAATGAGGAAAAACACCATGCAGGAGAGAGAGAAACCGCTTGTATAGCCAAGGTATCCTGGAGCGGGAAAAGAAAGGCAAAGAAAAGAAGATTATTTGAGACCAAGGACTGTCTTATTCAGCTATTTCAGAGTGAGATATGGAAATAAACACAAAAAAATGCCTAGTAGAGACATGAGGAGAGCATGAAGAGTAATAAAACACAAAAGGATATGAAAAGGACTGCTGACATACCAAGCTGTTTCATTAGTGCAAGTGGAAGAATGATGATGGCACTAACAATGATGACCAAGTAGTTTCCATTCAAAAACCACGGGCTGATACATGGCCACACAAACAAATGAGAAGATCACCACACAGCTAAAAAGATGAAAACTCAACTGAAATTGTTAAGAGTGAAGTAAGAAAAAACATGAATAAAAACTCACTCTGAGCCATCTCCTTTACCAGCGAGAGCCTCTATAACCAGAGGAAGCTCCGACTTCACGATAAAGAGATAGCTGGACATTGCTACAAACAAAACAGAACAAGCTTTTATTGTTTATTTGTGCATTTTTTTTTTCCTGAATACTGATTGTATCAATATATACCTTTTCAATAAATTATAATATTGCTTCTGATAAAGCTCTTTCTTCAGATTAAAATAAAAGTACAGCTTCATATTGATTGACATTTCAGTGTCAAAATTATATTTTTTTATTGCTCCTTAGTGGCATTCTAACAGTATATGATGATTGCATTAGCTATAAGGGGAAGATTATCATTAAAAACAGACATAAAGACTTTAATACATCTAGCATGTCTCTAATTAATCTCAATGTGTTTCATCGGTGAATTGAGTTGTAATCTATCCATTGTAACTGTACATTTACACAACATTAATCTGATCAAATCAAAGAAAACATTCTCTATAGAGACATAATTTTATATCAATTGGTTTAATTACATTACCTCCAATATTGTGCATAGTGATGATGATGGCGGCCACCATTTTTCCCGGGTGGCCAAAAGCGTGATTTCCTAACTGCTCATATGCACGGATACCTGAAAACCAATCAAAGGAAGGAATATTTTACTACATTATTAGGAAAGATAGACTCATTTTTGTCAACCCTGTAAAAGATAAAAAAGACAACAACTTAAAATTATTTTTTAGTTTTTTTCCCTTTTTTGCTGTAGTTTAATCTCACCCTGATTTATCATTAAAAAACATTTTAAACAATTTTTAGCCAAGTAAAAATCTTACATTGAGAAATAAAGAGTCACAGTGTGCTTTGGATGGATACCCTCTCCTTAGAATGAATGAATATTCATTTTTTAGTTTACTGATAGATGCCACCAGATGGTGTAGTATTTAGAAGAGTTCATGAAGTCAAGCATTCTCTATATGTTTCCAGGGGGCCATTGCAGAAAATAGCATAACAGATTCTCCACTATTGTACATTTTACTAGTTAAAATCTCAGCACAGTTTATCATTTGTTACACTTTTTTTTTTTTTTTTTAAACAAGGGGAAAAAAAATATTTTTATTTTTCCCAAGCCCCCAAATCACCATTTTGCATTTAATGGCCATTATGGAAAATTGCTGGCCTCCTTTTGCTTCATTTCTCTAACAGCTAACTGTGAAGATGCTGTTTATCCTTATTTAGCATTCTGCTCACTGTGCATGGTGGCAATATAAATAATGGTTCTTGTTATGTCTTAAATTATGACTCAAACTGTTTATGTGGGTGAGTAAATGCTTTCTTGTAGCTATTTCCAGGCTTAAACCTTCCTCAGGGAGACATCAATGAATTACTACTGTAGATGAAGATTATTAAACAGACTATTTGGCCTGAAAGGTAAGGAATTAATTAAAGGGATTTTATAAATACCAAGAATTTAACCATAATTTTTTTTTACTATAACCCACAATTTTTTGTTTAAGGATATTTTTTTCACTGCATGATTGTTTCCCCCTTATTGAGTAAATGCACCAAAACTAAAAGTTGTACCTTTCTAAAATGTTCAGTGAGAGATTATACTACTTATAAGGACTTTAAAAGTGTTTACCAGAATACCGACAAATGTATCTGTGTTTGCATATGATGAATGATTAAACAAGCAGAAAAGTTGCGTTGGCTTAATGGATCCCCTCACCTACAACTCCGGCACTTTTTAACAGAAGATGAATTGAATATGCAGACAGAATGGCAATGCACACTAACAGGATTCTGAAAGAAAGAAAAAAATACATCTGTTGGCACTCAGTCATTATTGTTATGTAATAAAATATATCTGGATTATACAGTTTCAACAACCGATACAGTTTATAGTAGTTTTATATTCTATTTAAATAAGATGATTTAGTTTTAGAGGTAGACTCGTCTTTACATCTTCACTCCTCTGCCACAAGGTGCAGGCCTGCACCATGAGGGCGTCTCTTAGATCTGATCACAGAGCTCTATATTTAACTACCCAAATCTGATTTAGAGAAGCTGTGCGCGTATGAGCTCTAATGTAGGATCTGACAGATCAGAGTGTGGACCGTAGTAAAGTAGCTTGTGGTGTAGCATTGTTTACATTATACCTGAACCATAAACAGTCATCCAGTTAAAGCAACCCTGTTAAAAAGAGTCTGGGTTGTAGATTTGAATTAAATCTCTGTTAGAACAAACAGATTGAAGGACGCACAATTACTACAACTACCACTACTACAACTTTAAAAAAAAAAACAATGCTGGTATTATAGCTGTATTATGTTATGTTAATAGTGCTAGATATTATATAAATAGTTACTTGTTTACTTTTTAAGATTTTACTGTATTTATTTGGAATAATGGAAATTGTGATGATCAATGATGGTAGAAATAGCTGTTCCACTAGTATCACTAGGATTATTTGCTAAATTTCTATTCCTCAATTAACTTATTTATACTATATTATTATTATTTTTATTCTTAATGGATTTTATTTTTCTTAATTTGATTTACTCTTAATGAAGTTTAAAGCTGATGATTATGGTAATAATTATAATGCTGGAATGGCTAAGATGCACATTATTAAAGAATCTACTATCTTTATAGTAATTATCAAAGCATAATGATGTTTTGCAGATACTGCACTCTGAGTGATTGCTTATCTCAGCAGTATCATTCTTTGGAATATATTTTTGTTAAAAAAAAAAAAAAAAAAGAACTAAATTTCAAACAAACTTAAAACACAATTACAAACTGACATTATAAGAAGTCTACGAAATAATCTCACTTGGCCAGACAATACATTTTCAATGATGATCTTTGCAGAATATTACTTACAGTAGACAAGAAAGACAGAAAGCTGATGAAACACATACATACAATGCAGTTTGCATAAAACCTGAACACTGAGAATATATAAGAAGCAGCTCATATATTTAAAAAAAAACTTTTTTTTTGTTCCTTTACTCACATAAACAGAATGATTCCTGTGTTGGACATTGCGTAAGCCAGTCCTAGGATTCCACTGCCCATGATGGCGTTACTGAGGTTAAATATGGACATGCCGAATGAAGTCTTTCCTTCGAACTGAAACAAGACGACATAAAAATATGTTTCATTGTTTACTAAGAAAGAAGTATTTTATTTTGTCAAAGAGAAAAATATAACTCACATCCGTAAATTGAACTTCTTTCTTTGTACCAGCTTTATGCGGAAGAAACTCTTGCTTTTCTTCCATGGCATCAACTCCATCAAACCTTCACAGGAGGCACAATCCAAACAGTTAATTTGAAAAGAGACACAATGAACCTGATCATGCTTCTTGCTCTCAGAGTCTCACCCGTCGTCTTTGCTGTGTCCATTCATCTTCTGAAGCTCCATTTTATTTTACTTGCTGAGGTTGATCTGGTTTTGGCTGCGTGAAAGACTGGTCTTTTAAAGTTGAAATGACTGGAAGCACAGAAACAAACGTGTCATTAATGAGACATTCCAAGGAAGCCAATGTGAATCGTAACATTGTTTCTATAAAAAGAAGGTTTGATGTGGCTGGACTGATTTAGACATAGAGAAAGCAGAGACCAAGTTGAATTATCTTTTTTTAAAATTATAATGCATATAATACATTACATCTAAATATCTAAATACATTAGATTATGTGATCTATTTGAACTTACTGAGATTGAAACAGCGCCATCAAATGAATCTTCCAGGAAGCAAAAAGCAGTATTTACTGCCTGGAACAATGGTTATGTAAGAGGAACACACTTAGAATAGTTGTATAAATATATGCATCTGGTTAGGAGTGATTTCTCTTTTGTTTATAGAGGAGCAGAAAAACCAGAGGCTCCATATTAAACACAGACTGATGACAAAGTCTTTTTAGATTCAGAAAGGTCAAGATTTTTTTTTTACTTTGAATCAATACTTATGTGGGTGCAACAAAGAAATCAGATCCCCGACTTAGATTTTGTTAAGGTCTCTGGGGTTTTCTGGTGTGAGTGAGCTTCTTGTCATAGAGAGGATTTTTGCTGGTGGCTTGGCCGACCCGTATTGCTGCAAACCTGGTCAATTCGCTATTCGCATTGACAACAGATTTCGAATGAGAACTTGAGCAAAACAATCTTTCAGATCATTCACAAACTTCTAAATCTTTCAAGTCAGATCTTGAGGAGCTGATACAGATAGACTTTATCCTGTTTTCACCTGAGGAACTGCAATGTTGGAGAAATAACTGGACTCTGCCTGTATTGTGGCGAGAGTGGTCACTTCATTTCTTCTTGCCGAAAGCAGCTAAAATAGAAGGTCCACCGGTAAGGAAGGGACCAGGCGGCAGTCTTAAGAGCAAACCATTCCTCATAACATCACCCTGCTGTCTCCTACTGAGTCACCCATTTCCTTTTTTTGCTTTATTCAATTCTGGTTGAATTGATTAAAGCAATTCCTAAAGCCTTATTGATAACAATTTAGCTGAACAATTACTTCTTCCTGTTGTATGCCTACCTGAATCACTTCATGCCTCGGCTCTAGATGGAAGTCATCTGCATATAATCACGTACCGAACTGAACTAGTAAAAGTGTCAGACAATTATATTGAAGAAATTTTTTTTTTTTCCTGTTCTCATCACCAGTATCTACCTTTGTTCTAGGGTACCGGTACTCTTGGCTCACCCTTCATAATCCTCACCTGAACTAGAAAGAAAATAGAGTTGAATCATGGAATAACCATCTGTCCAACTCTTCAGTTGGCCATGTCTCCACTCTTAAATTCTCAAGAATAGGAAATTGCAGTAGACCTCTCCCTGGTTCCTCCTGGGTATCGTGACCTTCATCTGGTTTTCAGTATGTCCAAGGCTCTCTCTTGCCCACCTTACCGCCCATATTACTGTGTTATTGAGCTGCTTCCTGAAGCCCATCTCTAGTGGGATGTATAACCTGTTCAAACCTGAGAGAGTATGGAGAAGTACAAGTGAGTCGCTAGCTGCTTGAATTATCTGCACCTCTATCTCAGCTGTTGGAGCCGAGTTTTTTTTTGTCGGGAAAAAGAATGGATCACTAATTCCGTAAAAATTAAAAAAAAAAAATATCCACTGGACTTGGTTTCCAAGATTTGAAGATTTTTACGGAATGACTATGACCTGGATGACTGAGAACCTTCATGCTTCTTGCATTCATTTAGAGGGGCTTTAACAAATTTCTGTGAAAAATAAATATCCACTTCCTCTTCTTTCAGCAGCTTTTGAATCAGTTCATGGCACGCATTTCTTCAGAAACTTGGATCTCAGAAATGCCTACCACCTTGTCAGGATCAGAGAAGGAGATGAATGGAAGACTGCATTTAAGACCCTCCTAGGGCATTTTCAATATCTGGTAATGCTTTTCAGTCTCACAAAACGCACATGCAGTATCCCAGTCCCGGGTGAAATACATCCTTAGAGATTTCTTAAATTAGTTTGACATTCTGATGTTCTTAAGGGCCTAATCCAAACATTAGATCCTTGTGCCTTAAAGTTCTCCAATGTCTTCTAGAGAACCAGCTCTTTGTCAAAGCTGAGAAGTTGGAGTTTCATGCCTCATCAATCACCTTTTTGGGACATTCTCGATAGCGGATAGGTGAAGGCGGATCCACAGAAGGTTCAAGCCAATCTCAATTGGCCCTCTTCGATAAATCACAAGCAGCTACAACATTTTTTTTAGGATTTGCCAATTTCTACAGCAGATTCATTAAAAACTATTGGAAACCTGCTCAACCCCTACCTAGCTTTACTTTCCTCCGAAAGACAAGCTGAATGACACTATGATGTGGGCGATAGAGAACTCTTAGCCATATAATGGGCTTTTGAAGAGAGTCGCCACTGGTGAGAGAAAATCCATTTATTGTGTGGACTGAACACAAGAATCTGGCCTTTCTCTAAGAAGCAAAATGTCTGAAACGTAGGCAATCACATTGATCTCTGCTCTTTCCCATTTTAACTATGTCATCTATTATGGTGCAGACTCTAAAAACACAAAACCTGATGCCCTGTCTAGGCAATACTCCAGTGACAACGAACCTAATATCGCAGCTGTCCTTTAACCTTCCTGCATTGTGTGGGCCTTATCATGGGAAATCAAGGACCAAGTCCTGGAGGCTCAGTGGTCTCAACCAGACCCTGCCACTGGATCTCTGAACTAGGTTTTATTTTCTGCTTCCATTAAGTCACGCCTTATTCACTGGGTCCACATAACAAAATTCTCTTCGTCTCATATGGCTTTGGGTATCATTGCTGGATTATCACCATCTAAGGGTTTCGCCAACATCCTCACTATAATTGACCACTTCTCAAAGGATTGCCACCACATCCCTCTTAGACCTCCCTTAAGACAGCTCAGCTCCTGACTAAGTATGTTTTTCGCCTTGACGGAATCTCTTGTGAAATCCTGTCAGACAGGGGTCTGCAAGGAAGGAGTTTTGTATTACTTTGGGGGGCCAAGATTTCTCTTAGTTCAGGTTTTCATCCCTAAACAAATCGTCACTCTAAACGCAACCAGGGGCTTGAGACATCCTCCGCCTGAGTTGAATATGCACATAATTGTCACACTTCCTCTGCTACTGGTCTGTCTCCATTTAAGTCCTCTCTAGGATATCAACCTTCCCTTTTTACATCTGACAAGCAGAACATTGCAGTTGCCTCTGTTAAACACCATACTGTATTCAGCAGTGCAGACAGGTCTGGAACCTGGCGGTTTCTGCCTTGAATCTGTCAGTGTAAACAAATAGACATCTGGCTGATCAGAGGAGTCCTGCTACCCAATACTCACCTGGACAAAAGGTTCGGCTATCAACTCTTGACCGGTTTCGGAAACCTCGTTCTTTTATCTGGGACTCTGACCTTGTTTGGGACTTTTGGTTTCCTCTTCTAGACTGCCACCGGGCAGGCCCTTAAGGAGGGGGTAATGTTAGGGTCTGTGGGGTTTTGCTGTTTTTCTAGTGAGTGAGCTTTGTCTCACAGGGAGGATCTTTGCTGGTGGCTGGGCCGACCCGTGTTGCTGCACACCTGAGAACATGTCTCAATTAAGATGACTAGCATATCTATAAGGAGGCAAAGGATTGTCTCTCTTTGCTGAATGATTACTGCTGTTCCAGCCAAAGAATTATCTTTCTTGTTGAATCTGTCTTCTTGCCAATCTCTTCAACTTGGACTCTGAAATCTCTCAGATCTCACTTACGCTCACCTGGACCTCGAGGGTACAATTTGCAAAGCCTGCTAAATCTAATACTTACATTTCCAAAACTCTCCTTCATCTCTCAAACCGACTGACCTCCTGGAGTCCCCGCTTTAAGATTCTTGCATTCTTTTCATAAATAAAATGTTAAAATTCACTGGTTCTTCATGTGATTGTACATGTGGGTCCAAAAGCTACATACAAAAAATCCAGATCTTTTGTTGTCATTTACTGTACCTCACATTAGAATTGAATTGAGATGCTAAAAACAAACAAACAGATAAATGAGTCATAAAAATGGAGCACTTCTGTTTGGATTTCATTAAAAGCCCAGTAATGGACCAGCTTTAAATAACAAATGTATTGTGAGGACATGAGTTGCCCTTAATCTCCTCCTGGATGAACAACCCTGGCATGGACAGCTCTGGAGGGACTCGTAGTTTTGTCCTCTGATCCACTCGGGTCATAGAATATTTCCCATGACCCTTAAGTTTCCCTTTGGATTTTTACATCTGACCTCCAAAGGTCACTCAGTCCCCAGCCTTTTTGAATTTTGCACAAAACCAAACTACTGATTAGTCCCGTTGGCATACACTGATCTTTACAGCTTGGCACCTGATAGCACTGGGCTCCAGTGTAAATCGGTGCTGTTTAGACTAAATACAGAGTGGAACTTTCCCAGCAGACTAGCCTGAAGTCTGGTTTGGTTAGAGTCGCTATCTTCAGTTGCTCACCCTGCAACTTTCCCAGGGCTCACGGCCAAATCATGCAACCACCAATCATAGCAGATGTCAGGAAAAGTCAGTGACTAAATAAATCGTTTGTTGGATACTAAAGAGGCTAAAGATATTTTGCTCTGAGCAAAATTCACATAGTTTGAGCTACTGTGGGGAGGGACAAATTAACCTAACCTGGTTAACAAAGAACTTGATCCATGAGATTTTTGTTGCTTATGAGGGTAGGCTTTACACAGCAAAATAAAATATAATAATAATACATGAAGTGGATAGAATTCAATTAATTGAGAAAAGCAGCCCTATTACTTTCATTCATTCACATAATTTACATTGAACACATATCCTGTTAAAAAACTAACAAATAACACTTACTTTTTTTCTCATTATAATTACATTTATATAAAACATTAAATAGCTAATCTAAACAATATTTAAGAGAAATACTTATCTATACTCAGTGAATTATTCTTAATATTTGATGCATCACATGGAGATTTTCTGACGCAAGACTCACACACTATTGACATTTAGCCCTTCCCTTTTCTTCCTCATCACAACCACATCTACAACCATGACTTCTCTAAAGAGCATCAACTTACCGTGGCGGTAGTTTGGATTTATGAAAAATGTAATCTTTTGGAAGGTGTTTGCCTTAGATTCCCAGAATCTGCCAATGTTTATATGTAATGAGGTTTCAGGGAATCTCTCCAAAGCTCCTTGGTAGTGAAGAGAGACGAGTGTGAGGGAGATTAGAGCCTGGGAGGGAGCTGGAGCAGGAAATGGGAACACCCATATTTAACCCTTTGCTAAACCCCTCACAGGTGGCGTTATAGCTGCACGTAGACAGCAGGGATCCTGTTACCTGGAGTGTTCACTGGAGTAGAGCAAACACTGGTGCCTGTGTAATGAATTACCTATGGTGTCCAGAAAGTCAGTACTTCACTCTGATCACAGAAGCTCATCACTAATAATTACTTCTAGTAAAGAAAGTAGAAAAGCTGTTGTGATGCAGACAACAAAGGTCATGAAGTTCAGCATAAGATGACTCTTTTTTGCTGAAGTTTACCAAACGGCAACATCCTCTTTGAAGCATGTGTGGTGGCAAGACTTCTAAGTCAAAGATATATTTAAAACAAGTTTGAGTGGTGATTTGCTTTGGTGTCTCTTCACTAAGTTCTTTCTTTACTGAAGTGACATTTTCTCTTGTATTTCCCATTCGGACGAGTGCTTATAGGACTCTGGGTCAAATTATTATTGCATTTCAGTTAAACAGGAAGTGATTGATTAAAAGTAAAAGTTACTAAACACTTCAATTTTAAAAAGAAAAGTATTTATGAAACATGTTTTAACATTTATTCTATAGGAATTTTTAGGTAAGACTGGAATTTTAGCATTGCTGGTTTTATTAAGGACCGTTATTTCATAATGTTGTTTTTTTCCCCCCACAGCATTCATATAATTAAGGACCAATCACATAGCCCCTGCACAAAAAATACTCCAACAAACCAGAAGAACAATGGATGGCTATTTGATTAGCATCTGACTTGGAATGCATGCAGGAGGATGGACCTAAATACAGATTGCTCTTGTGCGAGCCAAGAGAACCAATAGACTCCTGGTTAGGTGTCGAAAAAAACTGAGTCGAAATCTGGCTGCCTTCAATTTTAAGGCTGTTTTTAGTTTACACAATAAATAGTTCAAAGCTGCTAAAAAAGTTATTTTCAGGTATGATCCAATTTAACCAGGAGTGCGTTGAAGTCTCTATAAACAGTAAGATATCATTAGACAAGCAGCAGAACTTTGGTGCACAGTTTTCCTTTACAGCTCCAGGCTTTTTAGGGTGTGTGTCAATCAGCTTTACAAATCTAAGGACTAAAATGTTGATCTTTTCTCAACTAAACACAGTTCAAACCAGTATTGCCCTGCATTTATCTCCATCCATCTAGTAGTTAAGCAGGTGAAACTCTACTTATCAACTCTGATCTGCTTCCCTTTCCCTGTAGCGTAATGCTCTCACCACCATGTTTCATAGTAGAAAGTGTTGCTTTTCTGCATTTACACTTTTAAATTCTAAAAAACAGTTACACCCAACCTCCTGCTGCTTTACCCCACTCAATGCATAGAAAAAAGAAATTTATACAACTTGTAATGTGACTATAGCATGAAAAATGCTCCCTAGATCTAAATACATTTGCAAGGGTATGTAAATATTGACAGTTCAAGGAGAAAGTATGTGAGCAATGGACGTCATCATTGTGCTCACTGCCATGGCAATAGTTATTAGCTTAGCAGATCAGTGCTTTCTACAGGATGGCTCACATGTGAAGGAGGAGCTGAAGATGTTGTACTTTAAGCAAACTACGGAATGTAGAGCAGCATATAACAGCTGAAGTGACACAGAAAACCCACACATTAAATGTTACCACAGCTGTGGTTAAAGAGCTTTGCTGCTCTGAATGAAAAGAAAAAAAATTCACATTCCTCTGAGACACAAGAATTCAGTTGGCAGATAAAGTTCAGCTAAACAGAGATATAAGGTTTAACAGCAAACCCAGACGCCCTTTCTTTCTTTATCTCTCTTTGACACAAAACTCTTACTGGAAAATATGTCATTCAGTTAGAGATAGTATCTAGGGCTGGTTTGTTAGGTTGGATGACTTTTATGCCATTATTACAAGGCAGAATCTTAAGACAACAAAAGTTTCCATTCATTTTATCAGGGTTTATGGTTTATTGACACATCAGGGTAGGAGCCTGTACAGATGGTGTGACTATAGGAAATTAAAGAAGCATCACATGTGATTAAAGGACCCATTCACTTCAAATGGTACAACTGTTAGACAGTACATTTGTTCTAGAGGTAAACTTAGACATCAAATACGATGCTATGTTTAATTAATAGGCCATGATGAACTTCTACTACAGTCATTTTAAAATCCCGCCTTTGTGCTGAGCATTCTGCTGGTAATTCCAATCAACATCAAGAAGTAAAATCATTAAGGGTTTAAACAATCTATTTTTCCCATTCTTCTACATTCTGGTTACTTTTTTTCCACAGAAGCATGCGACAAATCTAAAAAGACTTACAGAGGAAATGGAACACGTGGAGCGCTGTGAATGGTCTCTACTGCTGATCACCTCAGGGAAGAGATTGACATCTGCAGTCCAGACAGATGTGACAGAGGGGGAAATGCTGATATCTGATGGCTGATTTGTGTCCTGATAATTAGATCCAGAGAGTATTAAAGATACAGCTCAAAAATAAGCAGCTGAGAAAGGAAAAAATGGAGGAAGGAAAGAGGAGGTAGTGACTACGCGCGTAAAGAAGTTCCTACCCCTCCCCCTTTTTTTCCCTCACATAGGGTGACACATGGTACTCTTCTAGTTTGCTGAAAACAACAATCCCACTTTTAGAAATAACATTATTCTACTTCTTTACAATGATATAGGTCATCATTGTGGAAGCTGTCACCTTAACCCTTTATAGGGAAGTTTCCATTTCTGATGACTTGCAGACCCCTTACAAATGGAGTACCCTCTGTCCTTCAGTGAGGTCTAGAAGCACAAGATCTATATCCAGCCATTCAGGAAAGATACATTTGACCAATTGGATGAGCCCTTGAATGATATATTACCTACTGCAAATTAAGTTGAAAAAAAGTAAACAAGAAAAAAAAGGTAAAAAGCTTATTAAAAAGTTAAAATAAAAGTTAATAACCCTAGTTAACAGTTTATAAACTAAAAGTATCTACCTGTATCAGCATTAATGCCTCTAAGGTTTTGTTGGACCCAAAAAAAAAATGTGTTTCTTTTACTCAGTGTTTTACATGAATTTCTTATAGAAGCACTTTTGTTATTTTTCTTAATATATTCAGGCAAGTTGGCGTTTCTTATTACATTAACATTCATTTTTTGCCATCAAAATGTTACAAGGGTAATAAGGTCTTGTCCTAGAGTCCAATAACACTATTGGCTTGAAATGTGGATTTTTAAAGGATTTCACTGAATGCACTATAAAGGGTTAAGGGATAAAGACTGGATGTACTGGGATCTCCATTTTCACTTAAATACTAATATCACTGTCCAATAATAGAGATCTTTTTTATTATTTTACTCATACAGTTGTCAGTGCCTTTTAAAGGCATTTTTCATTTCATTTCTGAGCTTTCTTTTTTTTCATGACCCATGAACGCTACCATCTAGTGGGTTAGAAAGAAAAAGCAACCAGCAAGATCCCAGATTATATTTTCAATTTTGCTCAGATTTCTGAAATTTTAGATAGTCAAAGCAATGCGTGCAGCTTCATGTAAACCCACAAAACTACCTCAGTAGAACTAGTAATTAATTTGTAGAAACAACTTTTTCCACCTTTGCTTTTATTTTTGTTTCAAAAGGTATATTTTTCTAGGATCTATAATTCCTGTATAACAAAGTCATTCACCATTCTAGTTATAACCTTCTACATATCTATTTCAATTCAATAATGACTTTATGGTAAAAGCAAATGTTTTTGTGTGTGTTTTTACACAAACCAATGATATTTTACTGGGCGCTTTTCAAAACATTGTAATGAAGGGTGAGGGTTGACGACATTTGACATTTTGAAACGGCAATCAGAAGCTCAAAGAAGATTCACCTTCATTAACTTGCAGCAGAGAACAGCCATATTTGTTACACTAACAGTGTGCACAATAGAACAGGATGCGTGGTATTGACTGGGGATGCATGTAACTCATAGAAATAGTGTTAAACATGGAAAAATTAAATAATGAAAAAAGGTGAATTATGAAAATAGAACTTTTTTCCCACTTAAAGGCAGTATCACTTTCAATTATATTGTCAATATATTGCAATGCAAATAATTTGTTTTATGTTAAAACAAATACTGCAAGTATAAAAATGCAATTTATTGAGACCAGAACTTGCTGATGTTTGATAACCTGAAAATCTGATATCATGTTTTGGATTGATTCCCTGCCACTGATTTGACAAACAAATGATATGATTGATTGGATTGATTGCGGGTTCTGAATTTTATCAAGTGACAGTAGCTAAGTAGCCTATTTAATAATGAGTGGGTTCAATTTTTAAAGCCATATTTGTATGGATCTGGCTGTAGTGACAGATCTATACTATGATCAACTAATAAGGAGCTTTATGCCTCGTCTTTATCACTTATATAGAATACCAAAAAACTGACTTAAAAATGTGAAATAATGAGTCAATTTCCCTGGAAATTTACATTTTTCAGTTATTTAACTTGCAGAACTTAAAAAAAAACAACTGGTTTACTAAAGGCAAACCTTTAAAAAATGTAAATATAGATTCTAAAAAACATGTGAATCTTAAAAGTAACCAAACAAAAAATAAAACCTAGAAACATTTACCTTTTATCTTGAAAATGCATTGCAGGACATTTGCAGACCTTGCAGGACATTTAAAAAAGAGATCTTATAAATATAAAATTATTTTATTTTTTTTTTAGACAGAAAAAAAGAACAAAATTTTATAAAAACAGTGAAATGTTTAGACGTAGCTTTGTGATGGAGTTTTATCCGTTGAACCTTAGAGGACACATCACTTTCCTTTCTCTACCCACATAAAGAAATTACATCGAGCCTCTGGGTTGGAAACATGTCCCTGAGGCCGTCCACACACAAAAAACTGTTTGCCCATATTCGGGCCCTCTTTCTTCACAGTGCGAAGCACACAGGGTTCCCTGTGCACCTTGCAGCAGGGGGCCGGGGGAGGACCGTGAAGCACAGACTTCCAAAACACAGATGATGCCCCCTTCTTGACATCTGATTGCCCCACGGCGAGCTGAGAGGCCAGCTGTTTGGTCTTCACCGTTTTGTCTGGTTCTCCTGTGGTGCTGCTGATGCACAGCTGGGATGGAGCCTTAACAACAAGCTCAGTGTCTTCCGTTGGGCTGCCTGTGTCGGGACACAGCTCACTGGTGGTGGATGCCTTTGGGTCTCTGTGTGATGAGGTGAATCCATCCAGAGCAGGTGTGCTCTCACACTGTTTAACAGCTGTGAGTTTGGGTTTAAAGAAAGAAAGGAGGTTACCCTGTGGCTTTAAAGAGTTATTTGTTGTCTTAGACTTCTTCCCCTTTGGGGCAGCAGATTCTGGTGCTGCAGGCCGTTTTTTACCAGAGATGTATGGGACAGGAGATGGATTCATGTTCTCCCGTCTTTCCTCCTCTTCCTGAGATCCAGGTAAGGTTTGCTTTGGCTCAGACTGGGAGGACTTTTGGTCCACCTTAATCAGAAAGCGAGACAGTTTCTGCTGTTTTCCAATGAACTCCGGCAGATAGCGCGTGCAGAGGGGAGGAGGTTTGGTGCTGGGAAGAAGCAAACATTTCAGTTTTGCCCAAACAGGACAGTGATCGGATCCCTCTACCTCGGGCATGATGTCTGCGCCTACAAACTGCTCCTGGGCCAAGCACCGGTCCGCAAATATATAATCGATACGTGTGCCGTAGTTAGTCTGTCGGGCTCCAGTGAGCGTGGACCAACACGTGAAGGCGTTTTTACGAGTTGGGTGAAAGTACCGAAAGATATCAATAAATTTCCCTGTTTGGGTACAGTCTCTCATCTCCGACTCTTTATCACACTCCTCCTCATCGGGATCCTCTTCTTCACTGCTACTGTACAGAAAGCCATTAAGCCATTTCCTCCCAGGATTTTCAGCAAAATCATCCTTAGAAATGTAAGAAAAAACAGTTATTACCAAACTCGAGCAGGAAGACCTGCAGTAATGGTAAAAGAAAATACACTATCTTTTTATTCTAAGATTTATTCCCAATCTCTATTCAGCTTCTGGGAATAAAGAATAATTCCTTATTTTAATTTAAAAAAAGTTTTACTAACATAACTGCTTGTGGCCAACATGTCTGTTGTAGCGTTGAGAACATAACTAAGTTATTGTTTCTTAATGACTTTATAACAAAGGGGTTAGGGTTACCCGAACTCTCTGATTGTGCACGAAACAACAGGCATTAAAAAATAGATAGCAGTAGCAGAGCCTGAATGCACGGTGGAGGCAGCTTTTCTCAATGTGCACACATTTCAATAACATTTGTAATATATTCTGCAGCCTGAGTGCTAAAGTTTTTTTTTTTTTTTAAGTGTTTTTTTTTTTACTTTTGCTTTACTGGGAACTAAACAAACACCCTCATCTATCAGCCACTTAAAACACTATAAGTTGCAAATGGAAAAACACACTACTATTTTATGACAACAAATTGTTTAGGCATGACAGTATTTCTACTTTAAATGCCTCTGTCATCGTAAGATTTAATTATCTAATGAACTGACACAACATGAGTTTATAGGTCAGTAACCAGGAAACCATTTCTAATGTAGAAATATTAGCTTAGAGTGAAAATGTAACACAATCCTTAACTTACATCATCACATGGGTCACAGTGGTCTATTGGCCGATGAGAAGTATTCACATCTCCTAAAACAATTACATGGCTGGAAAACAGAAAACATATGTGACTAAAAGGATGGTTTAATAGAAAGCAGAGGAACAGCAGAGCTACAATAATTTGTGTCCGCTGGACCTTTGCAAGGTGTTGTCAGATTGCAACAGCGAATTTCAAAGTATTTTATTCAGATTTTATGGACAGAGCAACACACAGGAGCACAGAATTATGAAGTCTAAATGCAGTTATAGCAGAGAGGCCTTCAGAGAGTTTCTATTGCAGCTTTACACGCCGTCCTCCTTGACATTGTGAGGAGTCGGCTGAAGTGGATTGGACATCTTTTCAGATGAACGCCTCCCTCGCAGATATAGAAGATGACGCCTACAAGCTTTGCACATCTAGAAAGTCTATGTTTTGACCATTCATTTTTACAAAGTAAGTGAGATTAAATGGAGCGCATCTGTTAACAAGAAAAAGCATGATGTTGCCTGTAGGTGTGGTGTTATTAGGTTTTAATAGCAAAATGTTTTATTTTATTTTTTCTTTTACAATTTAGATATAATTACTGTTCTAAGTGGGTTGCTCTGTCAGCTAAAAGCATGTTTTAGAGTCTCTATACTCCAGTAAATGATTAATTGATTACTAAATTAGTTGACAATTATTTCAATAATTTATTAATCCGATTAAGAGTTTCAGCCCTAGTCAGATCTGATCAGAGCTCCTTCCGTAGGTTTCTCCCTTACTTAAATAGGACCACACTGCAAATGGGGCATCAAACACTGCTCTCTTTTTGTCTTTGTTCTATTTTTTCATGTTCTACAGAGGTATAACTTTATCTGTCAACAAATTCTCCCACCTGAGCAGTGGATCTCTGCAGGGAGTTCAGATTTTTAATTGTAAAAATGTTCCTTCCGGTTAAAAACTATGGACAACTTAGTTTTTCTATGTCATATAAAGTCCAAATTAAAAACACAAAGTCTGCAATTGTAATGTGAGACAATTAAAAAAAAAAAAAGAAAAAGGGACGTGCAGGTGGTGCAGCGGTTAGCGCGCATGACCCTCGTATGGAGGCCTCAGTCCTCAATCCGACTTGTGGACCTTTGCCGCATGTCTCTCCCCCTCTCTCATACCCCCTTTCCTGTCAGCCTACTGTCAAAAAAACAAGCCACTAGTGCCGAAAAAAAAAAAAAAGTATTTCAGTTAAGTGTTGAGATTCTGCCAGCACATCATAATTTTTCTCATGCCCAACATTTAGGTATGTTATCTTAGAAACTGTTAGCAAAGATAAAAAGTGTAAAAACCAGGGGTGTATCATAACCAAAACTGTACATATTTCAGTTTAAGGATTTAAAGTAAAAGCAGGAAACACCTGTTCTGCTGTCTCTGTTTGTGGGAAGTGCTCTACACTCTCACCTCCCTCCTTGTAACAGAGCTTCGGCCCGACGTTGAAGCACCTCGTAGAACCTCAGCTTGAACTGCTTTCGCTCCGGCTTGTCTGGGTCAGCCCGCGGGCAGTAGACATTTATCACAGTGACAGTCTGCTCTTTGTCCTGACACCTTTGGACGAAACCCACACACACAAAAAAATCAAATAAACACTGTTAAAATTAGGTTAGTTCTAATAAATATAGGCATGCCTTTTAAAATAATGAAGTTTTATGTTCATTAATAATAGAAGACAATTGAATGCAAAAACAGAAATAATCACCGTTCTGTATCCAACACATGTTTTTGTCTTACATTATCTTGTGCTGTGTGATGACTGCTCGCCCCTCATTGTCCAAAAGCTGCAGCTCCTCACTTGAAAAGTCAGTGTGGTCACCATAGCAACCAGCAGCTCCCTCATGGTTGGTAAGCAGACCTGTGAGCCCCTCTTCAGCAGCGGAAGGAGTGGCATCGTCCCGACAGTAAGTTGCAACCCCTATGCACAGAAGAAATGACACACGATTATTGTGGACATATATTAAATGGAAGATGACATCAGGTTCTGAGCTTCCTTAAGTAAATCTAGAAAACCTACTTTATTGTGATTTTAAGGCAGGTATAAATGTGTACAATGAAACTAGTAGATTTAATATTTATTTATTTATCTACATAATTTAAACATAAATATACCTTGAAATTGTAAAATGCAGATATTGTTTAGTAGTTCATTTCTGAAATGTCCCATTAAATGATTAGAAACACATTCAAAATTATACATCAAATATTTAAATGTCTTAAAAAATACATGTATCTAAAAATTGAGATAATCATTTCACTTTATATTTATATAAATAATTTAGCGTGAGTAATTACGTGTAATTTTAGGGGTTATCAGTCTGCTCTTTGTTATTTGTGGGGTCACAGGCTGAAAAGCACTGATTAAAGGGGACATTCAGGGTTGAAAAAGCTAAATAACAGTGTAGTAAACCTGAATAACCGCTGCGTCCTCTACTGTAGCTGAAATAAGAGTTGTAACCGTCAACAATAGCCGTCCTTTCATCCAGCAGGTCTCCTGTGGAGCAGAAATGCGGGTTAAACCTTTGATCGCTTTCATAACAGAGCTCTGATTGGAGCAACAACAGCTTCTCTGATTTTAACACTTACTCGTGACTTTTGTCTCCTGAACACAAATTATGTCTGCATCCAGGCTATCAAGGGCATTTTTTATCCCACCTTTAAACGTCCTAATGCCGTTTATATTCCAGGTGACAAGCTTCATTGCTTCTGAGCGGCAAAACGCCAATGTTGAAAGAAGGAAGCAAACCGGATGTTAGTGTGACGTAAGCGGAAGTCTAATTACGCGTCTATTTTGGCACGATTATTTTGACAAAAAATACGTTTTACTGAAACAATAATAATAAATATTATATGTTTAAAGATGCATATATAATTAAGCTTACGTAACAAAAATAACTTCGACTAAGGAAAATTAGGACAAATTATTTTAAATTCCCTCCTAAATATAAAGAATTATCAGAATAATAAATGACATATATCCTTCAAATGAGTACTTAAGACAGAGATTTAAATTCAATTTTGGAAATTGTGGTTTGTTTCTGTATAACTCAATTGGAAACTACTAATCATTTGTTTTATGAATGTAAAGAAGTAAGAAACCTATGGGATCAACTTCAGATATTTTTATCTTCTAGATCTATAAATGTGGACTTTAATTCTATACACATAATTCAGTTTGGTTTATATATTAATGAAAAAAATGTGGAATTCTTAGTTAATGCTTTGATGATTATAACCAAATATTATATCCATAAATGTCGTTATGCAAAATGCTGCCTCTCATTCTCTGCTCTCAAAAACAAACTTTCCTCCTTTAACCAATGTCTGAAAAAGATGCAGAACCTTAAAGAAAATAAATTGTCTGATTTAATGGAAGAATTTCAGTTAGTCCCCTCTTCTTAATAATTTATTTATATTGTTAGTTGTTTTTTTTCCTCTTTGTTCTAGCCTCTAATCTCTATTGGAGTTAATAGGAGTTGTGATATTATTTTTTTTCTTGTAATGTTCATTATTGACGTATTGTTTGAGATTGTCATTGATATTCTTTATTTCAATAAAAAAAACGGATATGAGTATGACGCAAGCGGAAGTCTAATTACGCGTCTATTTTGGCATGATTATTTTTAATAAATAATAATATATGTTTAAAGTTGTTATATAATTAAGCTCACGCGATACAAACAACGTCGACTCTGACTTGGGACTT